CTAAAGATCACACCAGATCCATCTCTCCCCCTCCCACTGCCACCTTCCAGTCCTCACCACCCTTATCCTTCCCCTGGCATTGCCACAGCCTAAGGAACTCATCCCCCTGCTCCTGCCCTAACTCCTTCTAATCTAGTCCCTGGAGAGAAGCTTGAGTGATCTTAAAAATGTTAAACCAGAATCATATTACTCCCCTACTCAAAACCTCTTCCCTTTTCCTTGGAATAAACCATAGCTCCTTGGCATATAAGCCCCGCACAGGCTGGCCCCACCAACCATCCAGCTAAACTTGAACCACACACTGGCCCTCCTTCAGTTCCTCAGCCACACCTAATTCTTCTCTGCCTCAGGGCCTTTGTATATGCTATGCTCTCCATAATGGAACACTCTCCCACCACCACCAAAGGAAATAGAGAAACAGAGAGGGAAGATATCACTCATCTCTTTGCTGGCCCTATCACCCCTTCAAGATTCCAGCTGGTACGTCACCTCCTCAGCAAAATCCTCCCTCCAATGCAGGTCTTCTGCATTCTGTCTCTTGACATGGTATGTTTTGTTGGAACAGTTACCCCAGGTGGTAAATCCATGGCATCTCACCTTGTGTCCGAGTATCACCCCACCCTCCCATTCCAAAGGGCTGTCATCTGGCCACTCAGGCCTCCTCCACCCATCCACATCTCAGCAACAATCACTCCAAACTGCCCTGGTCCACCTTCCACCTCTGGCAGCCCTGAACTCCTTGGGGACAGGAACTACGCCCATCTCCCCAGCATGGCATCATCCGTGCCTAGCATGGGGCCTGACACCCGGCAGGTGCTCAGCAGAACCCTGGCCAAACGAACGAATCAGGAGATCTGAAGATCATATAAGGTTTCGGAAGAAAGTTTCTTGTAAGACCACGTGACATTCAAAAACAAGAAAAAGAACAGCTGAGCATGGCATATGTTTTGAGATTTTTAATTTTATATTTAAGGAGAGAGGATATAATGGTCTTGTACTCATTTTCTTTTTAAAACCACTGAGTGCGCAAAAAAATAAAAATGAAGTTCTATAGTGTGGCAAATAAAAGAGAAAAGGGTGGGGACCGAATAATTGAGAGGGGAAGAGAGGCTGCGGCACAGTCTAAAAATAGAAACAGATACAGAGATAAAGAACAAGCCAGAGATCAAGAGAGAAGCCACCAGAAACATCTAGGTAGGGTACAGGCAGGACTGCACCGCCTCTCAGGGGCTCCTCAGGGGACAAAAAGGGCAACCCTCCAGATTTCAGATGGGGGCTTTGCACCCACTTAAAAGTTAAGCTGTCATTTTAAAGAGTCTTCTTTTCTTCATTTTTCAAAGAAACTTTTAAAAACAACTTCCTACACAAAAAATCGGGGATATACAAGTTTTGTTTTGAAAAAACACATCATCTATTCAAATGATTTTTTTTTTTAATATTCTACTGTTTGCCTTTCGAGGATATGGCTGCAAATTTTTAAATCATAACATGGGGTTTTTCAGAGTTACAGGCAGGAATTCGGTCCCTGAGAGCAGCCAGAGGGAGAGGCACGAACCTCAGGCACAGCAAAGCAGGAGTCTTCTGGACGGCACACCCAGCCTGTGCCCTTCTCTGGAGCTTCCCATGGCCCGGTCCCTGATGGCTGGGTGAGCTGAGCCTAGTTCCTCATACAGCCCACCTTGCTGCTACAGTGGGCAGCACCTCTTGAACCAGGACCAATGGGTGTTTCTGAGAATTCAGGCCCTGTGTCCTGGTAGCAAAGTTCAAGCTAGGACAGCATGTAAACCGGGGAGAAGGGAGTGATGGGCAAAAGGCGTGGGCATTTTCCACCAGGCTTTCTCTGCATGAGTGAACAGGCAGGAAAAGTGGGGTCTGCAAAGCGAGGCAATCAGACCTACCGCGGGCAGGCAGAGCTTGTACTATCTCAGTCCCAGCTCCAGCATTTAACCTCACCCTTGACCTTTCCCTTGACCTAACCATAACCTGTTCCATAGGGCTCTTTTGAGGATTAAAGTTAACACACAGCACTTGGAATGGTTTTCACACGTGGTGAATGCTCTCTAAGTGTTTTATTATTAATTATTATCATCATCTTTCTAAAATGAAAGGCCATGAGGGTGAGAATTTCTGGCTGTTTTGATCTGGAGTCTAGCACCGTGCCAGGCACACTGTTAGTGCTCAGTAAACACCTGTTGATCAGTGAACAGAGACACCACACAGTGCGACATAGAGAGAGACCACGGAAAGAGCCTCCTAACTCTTCTATTTACTGCACAGTCCCTGGTGGGAGGGGCACGGGGGAGGACACAGACTAAATAATCATGCAAATAGTAGAATTACAAGCTGTGGCAAATGCCAGGAAGGAAAACCGGATGAAGCTCTGGGCATATAAAACTGAAAAGATCGTGTAGATAGGGGAGGAACTTGAGCCAAGATTTCTCAGAGGAGGGGACAGGTCTCAGGAAGCAGAGTGGGCAGAGTGTGAGCAATCGCCCAGAGGGAGGATCACAACTTCCTTCTTATTCTTTCAATACTGTATTTCAGTATCAAATCCAATACACAGGCAGGTGCTTAATAAATACCTGCAGAATGAATTTACTTGTTGAATGGACGGACCAAAGGAAGAAATCTTGGGCCTTGAACCTTGTCCAGGTACTCTTGAACTGATTCTCCTGCCCATCCAAACCCCTTTTTCTAATCTACTTTGAAGGAGTTTCTCTCTCTGTTACTACCAAAAGTTTTGACTCAAACATGTAGTCTCATAGCAACCTCACAGCAAGCCTAAAATAGATAAGCTTCGAAGATCATAATGATATGATGACTTTCTTTTACTAAAAGCAATTTTCAGATGGGCCAGAGTAACCATTAATAGGCCATCCCTCACACCATAAAAGCTATGGACCAGGAATGAAGCATATAAGTCAACTGTCTCAAGCACCAGAGACCAGGAAGCAGAGACTGAGGTCCTTGGGGGGAAAGAAGCACCCAGACAAGCCCACCTTCACTTTGGCTCTCTGCCTGGGGACAGTTCCCCTGCCACATGCAGAAAGTGGAGTATAGTGGTCTCACTGAGCTGAGGAGGCAGAGTTCAGAGTGCCAGGCTGCAGAAGCAGCTGGAATCTGTACGTGAGGCATCAGAGAAGAGGGATGCTCTTAGAGGAGCAATCAAGTCCTTGGCCAAAGGCTGGGCTATGCAGGCACAGAGGGAACTTTGGGAGGCTTACCCAAGAGAGGCTGCAAAGGAGTAGAGAGGAGAGCAAAGAGAATAAAAGTGGAGTGGGGCTGGCACACTGCAGTTCCAGCCCGTCAGTGTGAGAGAGACCTCCCTGCCAAGCACCCAAAAAGGCTATGCCTTAGGAACAAGCACAGGCCTTAGAGTAAGAGCTACTCTAGACCTGCCCTCCCAGGACCTAAAACCAATCCCCAACTAGACCCACACAGAAGAGAGTTTAAAGGCTAAGCCCCATTCAGTAAGAAATGTCTCGAGTTTTCCACAGATCCATCTAACAAAGTGAAAAATCAAGCTTATATAAGTTCAAGGAGATCAGCCAGTAACTGAGGTGCCTTTAGAGGAAGATAACAAAATCCAGAGTCCCTACAATGTCAAGTGTATATAATCATGATGTCAGAATACAATCAACAACTACTAGATGTGCAAAGAGAGACAAAACCGTGACTCATGGTAAAGGAAATAAATAAATGAACAGAAATAGTTTCCAAGATGACCACACTGTCAGATTTAGAGAAAGGAGCTGCCAGGATTGATAAGTCCTTAATATCATCATAGAAGTCCTTAACCATGGGTATATACCCAAAGCACTTGTGGAGATATTGGGGTTTAGGGGTTTGCTTGTCTGTCTAGGCTCTACTTACGTTTTGTAATTTCTAATTAAGTAATTTTAGGGATCTAAAATTTTTAGGAACCAACCTAGGGGGTTCTGTACTATAGATTAAGAACCTGATTCTTATCATAGAAGACTTCAAATTTAAGGCAAATACCAAAAAAAAAATGTTATATTCATTTAAATATATTAAAGGTTCTGGTTAATCAAGCTGGTTGGCAGGCATCAGCCAGCAGTTCCTACTTAAACTGACTATATAATTAAGAATATTTCAACCTAATTATTTTGTAGGAAAAAAGCACACTTATTTTGAGAAATCTTAGCTTAAATCAAAAGCTACAGACATAAGAGATATCAAATAAGAAAAAACAGGAGGAAATAAATGTTCATGGTATAATGTGAAGTAAAAACAAAAATCAGAGTATGAACTACACATTCACTATAGCATCAATTATATAAATACCCAGCATTAGAAACTGTCATGCTTGTGAACAGAAAAAAGACAACAAGTAATAGATCAAAACAGCAATATTTTAGGTAGTTTACGTATCATTTTAATTTTTCTTACTTTTTTGTATTTTACAAGAGTATATTGCAGACGTCCTCAAACTACGGCCTGCAGGCCACATGCAGCCCGCCTAAGACATTTATCTGGCCCACCGAGGTGTTATTGCCGCCACTGCCTGTCCTGCCTAGCAGCCAACTTGTCCTGGGGCCCACAGTCTGGCCCTCCAACGGTCTGAGGGACAGTGAACTGGCCCTCTATTTAAAAAGTCTGAGGACCCCTGGTATATTGATTTTCCTCAATGGGCTGTCATCTGAAAGTTAAGATGACAGCTTCAGAAAGCTTCTGTCAACATACAAACCTCTGCAAAACTCTAACAGTTTCTCAATCAGAAAGACTTCAAGAGAGGAAGTATCTTGACACATGAATGTTATTTCTATCCACTTATCTAGCTCACTAAGACTTTCTTCTAGGGCTTCTGAGTAACAAGATTAGCTTCTGATACTAATTCAATCTTAAATTTCTCATCCCTCAAAGGAGTAAGAGGCTGAAACATATACCTCAGCCCAACAAGCATCAAACAGTGGCTTAGCAGAAGTGAATCACCCAGTGACAAGCATCAGACACAAAAGGAACAGAATTCAAGTCCATACCTGAACAACAGGGTGGCCTCCAGTTGGTGCTTTGACAGCCCCTCGGCTGCCTTCTGTCTCATAGTGGGCCCGGTGATGTGGTTTGGGCTGCACCTCAATCCGCAGCTCATAGGAGCCTGATTGACTGGAGAGTGGCCACTCAAGTGGAGGGAGGGATGCAGTCACTGGGATGCTGAAGGAGAAAATAGAGTCAGTCATGTGCACCATAAAGCAGAACCAATCAGCCTGTACAATAATTGTAAATGGCCCCTTTTCTGAATATTGTGGATATGGTCATATGTTGCTTAACAGAGATGTATTTTTAAAAATCTTTCATTATGTGAACACCATGGAATAAGTGTTGCTACACTACACCTAGATGGTGTAGCCTGCTGCACAGTTAGGCCATATGGCATAGCCTATTGCTCCCAGGCTACACACCTGTACAACATCTGACTATTGTAGGTAATTTTAACACAATGGGAAGTATCTGTGATCTAAACATATCAAAATACTAAAAAGGTACAGTAAAAATACATTATTACAATTTTATAAGACCACCATCATATACAAGTATTCAATCTGTCATTGACCACAATGTTGTCATGCAGCACATGACCATATATTAGGCTAGATGTTGAGGCAAGCACATGTTTCTGAAGACAGTGTGACCCAATTCTCAATTTATAAAGATAATTTCATTATATGTTAGTTCAAATATGTTTCTTTTCCTTTAGGAAAAGTAGAAATCAGGCACCCAACATGAACCATAATGTGCCATAAGATTTTAAGCAAGCAACTTCACTTCTCCTATCCACAGTCTTATAACCACACAGAAAATGGACTAAATGGCATCTATGGGTCTTTAAAGCTCTTATTTCTATGTCTGATGATCTCAATTAAAAGTACATTTTGGGGAGAGGTCACTCTAGTCACATCATTACATACGAGGTCAATTGTTGAACATATAAGCACAGAGAGGTGTCTAGTGTGGATATGGATGAGATCCCTAATATTAAATGAAGAGCAAGTATCAAGAGCATGACTAGAGTTACACATCCAAGTTCAAGTTCCAGCTCTACCTCCAACTACCTGCGTGACTTTGAGCAAATGACTCTACCTCACTGGGCTTTAGTTTCCACAAATATGAAATGGCGATATTGAGATCATATAACAAGCTTAGCATGGTAGGGATTCAATAAACATTAGACTATATTTATTTTTCCTATAATATACATTTTCAAAAAAATAGTTATTTTCTAAAGACTATCTGACTTAGTAATGGTATTAGGGATATAGATCTTGACATCTGAAGTTGTAAGATCTTTGGGGGCAAGCATTAAGTTTCATTCTCTTATATAGCCTCAGCATTGTTGTACAGTTTGAATATTTGTCTCCTCCAAAACTCATGTTGAAATTTAATCCCCGGCTCGGCGCCTATAGCTCAACCGGCTAAGGCGCCAGCCACGTACACCTAAGGTGGCGGGTTCGAATCCCCAGCCTGGACCTGCCAAACAACAATGACGGCTGCAACCAAAAAACAGCCGGGCGTTGTGGCGAGCGCCTGTGGTCCCAGCTACTTGGGAGGCGGAGGCAGGAGACTCGCTTGAGCCCAGGAGTTGGAGGTTGCTGTGAGCTGTAATGCCACGGCACTCTACCCAGGGTGACAGCTTGAGGCTCTGTCTCAGAAAAAAAAAAAAAAAAGAAAGAAATTTAATCCCCGATGTGGTGGTATGAACAGGTAGGGACATTAAGACGTGATTATGAATCAGTTTATTAATGGGTTGATGGACTGATGGGCTCTCATGAGAATGGGGCTAGTGGCTTATAAGAAGAGGAAGAGAGACCTGAGCTAGCATGTCAGCCCCCTTACCATATGATGTCTTGTGCCATCTTGGGACACTGCAGAGGGCCCTAGCCAGATACACTTCCTCAATGTTGGACTTCCCAGCCTCCAAAACTATAAGAAATAAATTTCATTTCCTACAATTTACCGAGTTTCAGGTATTCTAAGCAACAGAAAACGAACTAAGAAAACTACCCAGCATATACAACAGCTATTTGATATGTGGTTAGAATTATGTCATTTAAGAGATGACAGAGGTCTTGAAGATGTGTTCAGGCCAGTCCTTCTGCACCTCAGAGAACATAAATTCATTTCCCCAACATCACAGAGCGAGACACAGCAAGGCTCCAACAATGTCTCTTCAGTACCCTCCAAATCCAGTGCACTGCTCATGCGCCCATATTGCCTCTTATCTTATTATAGACTAATGCATTTTAAATAGGACCAGGAAAATATCTCGCACGTGGACTGGTCCTAGAACCATGCCTGGTAGTTGATAGGTTCTCGTTAAATGTTCAGTGGTTGGATGGATGAATGAATGAATGAACAGCTTTATTTCAAAGAAGGCTTTTATACTCAAAGTAACTTTGAAGTTGCAAATGCATGGATTTGTGTCACTAGGTCCAGATTTTTCACATATGACACAAATTGTTAATCCAGAATATTCTTTCCCTCTTCGCTCAGAGCTACTAGAATATGATGCTATCAACCAGATTAATTAATCATTTGCAATAGGCCAATTCTATCTCTTCTCTATCATAGCAGGACCAAGGGGAGAATGGCAGAGTGGGAGTAGTGTGGGGGGTAGTTCCAGCATAAACTTTATCAGTACCAGAGTCCAACCTAAACATACGATCCAACTGAAAATTACATCCTCACTATAAAAGCAAATCTCCTCCCCTTTTTCCTAGCCAGATTGCCTCCTGAAGCTCTTCTTACCCTGAAGTCTGAGGGTGTACAAAGTACCTTTATTTCTACTTTAGTTGTAGTGATAAAATGCTTTTAAGCATCTCCTGCGGCCAATATGCCACACGCCAAATATTCTTACTGATATCATGTAGGCAAAGTAAAATTTTTTAATGTTTGCAAAAATGAGACTCAATTTTTAAAAACAACTTACTCCTGTATTAATATCTTTTGAAGTATCAAAAAACTAGTGAGTAGAACATTCAATGGGATAGCCCCAAATTTCAGTTTATAACTTTATATGGTTCTGAAAATAGGTTTTTGACATGGGAATAGAATCTTTTTATTTTTTTGAGACAGAGTCTCACTATGTCACCCTTGGTAGAGTGCCATGGTGTCACAGCTCACAACAACCTTAAACTCCCAGGCTTAAGCGATTCTCTTGCCTCAGCCTCCCAAGTAGCTTGGACTACAGGGGCACACCACAACACCGGCTATTTTTTGTTGTTGTAGTTCTCACTGTTGTTTAGCAGGCCCAAGCCTGGTTCAAACCCACCAGCCCCAGTGTATGTGGCTGGTGCCCTAACCACTGAGCTACGGGTGCCAAGTCAGAATCTTAAGAATTAGACCATCAGAGACAGCCTGAAATTCTGCATGTGAATTCTAGCCCTCTCCTGAGTTGTCCACATACCCTGAGAAAAACATTATCAAGGGACTTTCCTGAATACCCTATCCTCTAAGCCTTAGAGAAAATTCCTGCAAATATTTCATTGGCTGGTACAGACTGACACTAGAGGCTAAAAGACACTAACACTCATAACCTTTCAAAGTCAAGATGCAGAATAAGAAGGGAGTATTTTATAAACAATAAGATCTCAGATAAATTCACCACAATTATATTTTTATATAAATGCTCCTCCTCTCCTCACTCTTAATTATTAAATAAAATCATAGTTTGGAGACTGATGTGTACCTGTAGCTGGAAGAATGATGAGTCTGGAATCCCAGATTGGAATTTGCAGTTTGGAATTTAATTAATTAATTAATTCAATTAGTTAATTAATTTAATTTCCAGTTTCCAGTTTGGTCATTAACCATCACTTCACCTCTCTGAGCCCAAATCTGCACAAGGGGTCGGTCATGATCAGCATTTCCTAAGGTGGCTTGGTGACACTTCAGTCACAGGACTCAGAGTGCTATAGCCAAATGGCCTTCAAAGTCACTGTACATTCTATTCACATTAAAGGCTCTGAGAAGGCCTGCACAAGGGCATCTGTTTAACTGTTAAATCCAAAAACACTTTTGTTTAAAAACACTGACTGATCTACTGTGGCACTGGTGTTCTTAGCACCTGCTTTGGAGGAAATGCCTGACCAGATGCTCTCTGCAGTCCATTTTCCTCTGGTGCAGGGTTAAACAAAGCTCACTGGTCAGGGCCTTTTGACCACCCTCATCCCCAGAGCAGTCAAAACGGCTCTACATGTACCTATATTCTCAATTGAATATTTTATTTGAAAAATAAAGCCTTCCATTTACTAAAACAAAAAACAATTTGAAACCCATAGGGATAATGGTAACAGTGTAAGACTTCCAATTCTTTATCTAGCAGAACAAATAGAATGATACCTGGCTCTAGCTTTTGTGCACCTCCTTTTTCTTAGCAAAATAAAGATAAAAACTAATACCAAACCAGGCTTACATGAGAATTGAATGAAATAATACACAGAGAGTACAGTCAGCCTTCTATATCTGTGGGTTCTGCATGTATGGATTGAACCAGCCTCAGATCGAAAAATACACAGTAAAAACAATTCCACAAAGTTTCAAAAAGCGAAATTTGAATTTGCTGCGCTGTGCTCTAAGTACTATGTGAATCCACGTGAGTGAAGTCATGTGTAGGCACTGCATTAAGTATCACAAGTCATCTAGAGATGATTTAAAGCATACAGAAGGATGTGTGTAGGTTTTATGCAAATACGATACCATTTACGGCAAGGGACTGGAACACCTGAGGATTTTGGTACCCCTGGGGGGTCCTGGCACCAGTCTTCCATGGATGCTAAGGAATGGCTGTACTCTGAATTGTTCCTGGCACTAGGAAGCATCCTTAAGTGTTTGTGGTTACTGCCGTCACTATGGTTATTCTAAAAGCTATTCTAAGCTCAATCTCCTAGCACAAGGCTCACTGATGAGGAAACACTTTTTAAAGTGCACCCCTTTCATACTAAGATTCTCCTATGCTAACAACTCCCTTATTTGAGCTCTTACTTGGTGCAGGCTCTATGCCAAGGGTTTAACATCTATCATTTCACCTACGATAGAAATCGGGGCAGGCGGAGGCCATGAGGAAGGTATTATTATTATCCTCCTCTCACAGGGAAGGAACCAAGGCCCAGCAAGGTGCTCCGTAAACATGGAGAGTCTTGATTGATTAATGATGTCTGCCCTGGGCCTGGTATGGAAAGGATAGATTAGAAAGAGGTTCCCAATTGATTGGCAATGTCTGACACAAGCAGAGCAATGGGAGGGCAGCACCAGAGAGACCCACAAGGACACAGGCAGTGAGGGGCAAAACTGGGGCTCAGATGCAGTCCTGAGAGGCCCCCAAGCCTGTGTGCTACCATCTGTGTGCATCTCTTCAGCTTGCCATGATTTTTTAAGCTCCTTGAGATTTAGGGCTTACACATTTTAAGAGGCGAGGGGAGCGCCATATAACCAAGTGCTATACTGAGGCACATAGATGCCTTGAACATCAATTCCTCTTAAAATGAGATAGTAGATTTTATATATTTTGGCTTGCATTGGCCTTGCTAGAATGCCAGCTCCGTGGAGGAGAAATGTTTGCCTGTTTAGTTCACCGGTAACTATATAACAGAGTCTGGCACACAGCCAATGGTTGATGAATACATATTGAATGAATGAATGAGTGAGGTGCCTTGTGAGCAATCCCATCTCTCCGGTGACTGCATCTGTGTAGCCACCACCTGGTGAGCCAGATACACTGACCATACCCATTTTACAGATTAGGAAACTGTGGCTCAGGGTTTCACACCCAACAAGTGGTAAAGCCAGGACTTCAATCCAGTTGCCTGGGCTTTGAAGCCCATGCTTATAACCAGAAAGCCACCCCTTACAACTAAACTATGAGACGAATGGTTCTCAAAGTCTTTCTCACCTGCAGATGGGAATAGCCGGCATCAGCTGCTTCGGCCAAGTTGGTGGGACCAGCAAGATGGACTCGGGAGCCGAGTTTCTCCTCTCCTCCTGCTCGCCGGGACCCAGAAACTCCACGGCAGGGTAGATGTGGCGGGGCAGGCCGGTCTTGGGTGGGGCGGCAGACACCGGCGAGGGGTCAGGGCTGGTCTTCCACATCTTGGGGGGGATCCCACAAGGCGAGTCCGCAGCGAGGCTGTTCAGGGCGTCCATGAGGACGGCAGAGCCAGCCGTGGGGGGGTACCCGGCCTGGGCGCCGTCGTCGTCCCGGACTGCCACGTGAGACGAGGGCTGCGGCGAGGGGCTCCGGGAGCGCTGGGGTGAGGCTCCGGGCAGCGGGGCAACCAAGGCCTCTGCACACGAATGCCTCCGCTTGGCACCAGGCGACGAGGAGCGGGAGGCCGGACGGGGCACGGGCGAGTGGCGGCCCAGGCAGCTGTCCTCGACGAGGCTGGTTCGAGGTGACATTATTGGCGAGGTTCTGGGGGAATAATGAGCAGGGATGTTTTGAAACTGGGGACACAGGTCGTCGGGCCCGCCGTTATTGGGCGAGACGCAGGGCGAGGTGTAGGGGGAGAAGGTGTCGGAAATGAAGCTGGCAGAGGAGCCGCTGCTAGCGGGGCTCAAGCAAAGCGGCTCGCGGTAGCCCTCGAAGCCGGGCACGGGCAGCGTGAACCTCGGGCTGGCGGCCACCCCCAGCGGGGGCAGCTGCTCCACCAGGAGCCCAACGTCTGTCATACGGAGGGGGCCCCCTGCCTGCATCAGTTCGTGGGATGGAGTGATCTCGATCCGAGGGCTCAGGCCCGAGGCCCCCGCTGGCTTGGCCGGGCTCAGAAAGTTCTGGGGCCCTCCCCTATCCGGCTCTCCGAATCGGCCAGGGGGCTCGCCAGAGCGACTGGCAAAGGGGCTGTATGGCTTGAGGCCATAGTCCTGGACATCATCGGGGTATGCGAGTCCGGAGGGTGGGCTGGCGACCTTATGCACACTCGGCTCTTCTGGAAAGAGAAGGGGGGAGGGAAGGGGTCTTTTTAAGCCTCTAAAACAAAACTCCCAACACTGCGCAATCACAGTTGGGGTTAGTCTCCTGTTGTTTCTAACTGTGTTGTTTGTTTGTTTGTTTTTCAAAACCCCACCACCAAACCCCAAGCTGGAACCTCTGCCTTACCCAAGGGGAAACCAAGGCTGCTCTGTCCAAGATCCCTTGAAAAGCGAGATTGAAGTGGAACAAGTTCAGGGGCAGGTGCTCTGAACACAGCTGATCCCGGCAGAGCCTTGGAGAACTCCTGGGCTAATAGCCTCAAACTTGGGTTTCAATGAAACCCTTAGAGAAATGCATTTTATCTGACAGCCCCGTTCACACCACCTCCACCCACAGCACTCTCTCTACTACATAGGATGCCTCTGACTTTCCCTTTTGCTTGGGATTATTTCAGTTCAACACTGGTCACAACCCATTAAATGCATTTCTGACCCACCAATATGACTCGTGACCGGCAGTGTGGAAACACTGGTCTAGGTGAATCTTGGTGCTGTATGTGTATAGCACACCCCAGGATCCGAGTGGGGTCCCAGATGCTCACACCTTGTAAAAGATCCAGCTTGATTCAGAACTAGGACTCATCTCATCTGAGTCATTATGTAGATAAAGAATCTGAGGCCCCAGCAAGGGGAAGAAATTCACCCAAAGACATCGACTTAGCAGCCTTAGAAATCCCACAGAAAAGCCACTTGACCCCCAAAAGACAAGGTCACAGCTATAGAGTCCCCCCAAATTATTAAAATCAGTGGATGCAGAACAGCCTAATTTTTTCTTTGTCTCTGCCAACCTTGGGCTTCTGCAGCCCCCCTAGAGGACCTACTAGAGAATGTGGTTCAAGTAGATTATTCCCTGTCAACTGCCCAAGCACCACCCTTCCCCTCCAGCTATCACCTCAGTTCACCCTGACCCCTCCCGGGCAGATGCCCTGCCTCACTGTCCCAGGCCCCTCTCTGGACCCTGAAGTCCAGGCTGTCAGGGAGATCTCTGCAGCACTAGCAAGGGAACTACCTTCCTTCCCGCCATCTCCTACCCCATTCCCCCTCCAGGGATCCCCACCTCAGCAGAGGCCCCTCTGGAATCCCCATCAGTCACAGGTCAGGCTTGACTCTCATGAACCCCAACTGCTCTACTGTCAAGACAAGAACCAAATTCCTGGCTCGGCGCCTGCGGCTCAAGTGGCTAAGGCACCAGCCACATACACCTAAGGTGGCGGGTTCGAATCCAGCCCGGGCCCGACAAACAACAATGATGGGCAATCAAAAAGCCAGGCGTTGTGGCGGGTGCCTGTGATCCCAGC